TGTGTGTGTGTGTGTGTGTGTGTGTGTGTGTGTGTGTGTGTGTGTGTGTGTGTGTCAGCTTTGAGGGAAATCCGCTGTGGGCCATATCAGATTGAGCAGTAATTGGTGGCCAGCTAAGAAGAATCACTGGTTTGCTTTGCAGACGGATAATTGGCCGGTCGTTTCTCAAAGCACTCTGGGAGCACGCGCGATGCTAGCTAGCCAAACTAATGAGGACCTCTGTGCACGTGTGAGAGCTTAAACTTTACTGTCAGTTTGGTCAAACTGTTCATCTTCAGAAGAGTTTTGTGCAGTTTGTTTGAGCAGACTGTGCACCTGAGGAGACAAGAGGCATCATCACAGAGAAAGAAAGAAAGAAAGAAAAAACAAAACAAAACAAAAAAAAAAACAAGGAGACTTCCTCTTAAACTCATCACTCTCCATCATCCGTGCCCTCGCCATCAATCTTTTAAACTGCCTTTCCTTCATTTTCCATCACCCCGCTCTCTTCCTCCATCATCTTGTGTAACTTCTAGCTCTTACACACCCTCCATCTTATCTGCTCATATAAAAGGTTAGAGCTAAATCCCAAAGGGCTCGTACCAAATTGCATTAGAAAACGTCTCCGGGACTGTTACCGCTGCTTAATACCTGCCTCAAAGTGAGATTTGCAGATAAAGATCAGTGACACATAGGTAGACCAAAAACAAAATTTAATYTCCCTTTCTTTTAACTTCCACATTTCTCTCTCTTTTTTTAAAAACTTATTTTCAGGCAGCGCTGAAACATCAGTGGTCTTTATCTGCAGCTCTGCTCTGCTTACTAATCAGCTAATTTAGAATCTTCATAAGGAAAATAAAATGTGATTTCAGATTCAAATCAGTTTTTGTCAAATTCAAACTGCTTTCAAAAAGATCTACTGCGTAAAAGCAGAAGTAGCAGTTCAAATGTTTTTATTTGCAGAACATTTGAATGAAAATGCTTAAAAATAAAATTTTAATGAGATAAATCTGTGTTGATCAAACAAAATGTCAAAGTTTGTTTTTTTTCTAACATGATTGGAAATATCAAATCCAGTGTGGCAGCTGYGCCACGAGATCAGTCCTGCTGAAGGAACACATTTGGTTATGGATTGTGGAAAATCTTCATCTTGCTTATTTTCCTTGAGGACAAAACAAAAGATTGGTTTGCTGCAGCAAAGTTAAGAGGCTCATTAGACTTCCTACAGATGCCTGCTGGATTTGGTGAACAGAACCAGCAAACGGACCAACATGTTAGACTCTTTTTTAGCAAAATGTAAATATTATATAGCTAATTACACGACTCTGTCTCCTGTGCTGTGTTAGCAGTGTTCTGTTAAATCCTTTAACTAATTAATTCGTTATGCAGAAGAACAAGAAGTGAAAGTCGCTGTAAGTTTTCTTTTCTGTCCTTAAGCTCATTGTCTGGTTTTTGGCTCTTTTTTATTTTAAAAATTTTTTTGACGTTCTAATCTTAGCTGTCACTTAAGAGGTGGCGTACCTTGTACATGTTGAATTAAAAAAAATGGCTTTAATGACTTATCTAGACACCTGAAGAGGTTGACCATGTTTTTGTGAGAGCATGCTGCTTCTTACAGAGATGTCCGTGATCAATACCAGCTCTCCAGCCGTTCACTGTGGCAGTGAAGTGAATCCCCAGGTTTGGTCAGATCTTTATGAATCAAATYAAAGCATGAAGAGGATGAAGGGCTGTGAGCTGAGCTTTA